AGACATGGACTGTCGAGGTGGATAAGCTACTTTTGGGGGACGCATGCGCTGCTGATCTGCTCTTATATGAACTGGATGAGATCATTCCTGCTGGCCAAGATAGAGCAGGATACAGATGCGAGCTACCACGCCCCAAGACAAGGAGAGGTCGAGCACCTGTTCCCAGCCAAGTGGGACCTTTAAACAAGGCGGTCCCAGCTGACAAGGAAAACATCATCAAAAACCTGCAGCCTGAAGGTGGAAACAAACAGCAACAAGTTTCCATAGATCGTGTGCGTGCTGTGCGAGACAAGTCCACGGCCGTTGCTGTAAAGAAATGTGTACGGTTCGTGGATGTTCCAACAGATACGCAATCACTTGCTAAACACGTGAGTGATGGTCCAGAGCAGGACAACTTGGATGAAAGGATCACTGCCCCAGAAAACCTGGCCGTTTATGATGAAGCGGAGTTGGAACTGATTGATGAGATCGAGAAGAACTTTGGTATCACGTGAACGGGACACCAGGATAGAAGGAATCTATCCTGCCGTCTAAACGGATTAAAGATCTTAGATTTGATGAGCACTTTTATAATGGAAAAAGCAATATTCTATATTATAATAAGTACTCGCTTGTTGCATCTTATCTTGTACTCCGTTCAATTTTTTTTTACTTTGCTAGTACAAACTACTTTCTGGACGCTTCCAATGTACATACAGCATGTACATGTCATACTTTGTAAAAATACTGTTTGTCAAAGAATAACGATTAAAAATTTTGATATAAAATCAGTCTCAAATATAATATATAAATATAAATATAATATATAAATATATAAAGGAAGACTAATATTATTGAGTATCTAGTATACACTAGTATACATGACTTTTATTTAAAAATCTCTGACAACTGAACTGAGATGAAGAAAAGAAAAGCTGTTGGTCGGCTGATAGTGCGTGCGTACTTAACATCCAAACCCTCTCATCACAATTATTAGTCTTTTAGGGGCTCTAAGAGACTCCGTTAAGAGACATTTATAAAAATAAAAAAAATTAAACTAGCAACACGGACTAACGAAGACTGAAATCAAGTA